TGTTTTAAGAAAAAATAATTAAAAATTGGAAGTAACACATTATACCAGTAGGTATCACAAGTAGCAAATACAAGAAACAAAGGAGTTTATTAAAAATGCATATCCTAAAAAAAAAAAATGCATATCCTTAAGCCTCAATACAATAATTTTTATTTCAGCAGAATATGGGGTAGAGTCCAGGAAGCAACATTTAAATAAAGGTAAACTGAAGCCCAATTTCTACCTCAGAAGTCCAACAAAACTGGTCTTCAGCAATGCCCTGTGGAAGGGCAAATAAGTGAAGAATACATCATCTCTGGCATCCCTGCACCTCAAAATCAGTGATCACACGGGTATTCCCCCTATCCACAGTATGGACTTGTGGCTGGGAGTCACTGCCCAGCCAGGGACTACACTTCCCAGCCCACCACACACCTAAGCATCAACAGAAAACTGGCTTGCACCAGTGGAATATGAGCAGAAGTTATGTGTCACTTTAAAGACAAGGCTTTGGGGCGCCTGGGTGGCTCAGTGGGTTAAAGCCTCTGCTTTCGGCTCAGGTCATGATCCCAGGGTCCTGGGATCGAGCCCCGCATCGGGCTCCCTGCTCAGCAGGGAGACTGCTTCCTCCTCTCTCTCTGCCTGCCTCTCTGCCTACTTGTGATCTCTGTCTGTCAAATAAATAAATAATATATTTTTAAAAAGATAAATAAATAAAGACAAGGCTTTTTAGAATGGTGTGTCTTTCTCCAAACTTTCTTTTCCCTTCACTTCATCGGTTAGATACAGTTAACAGTAAAATTCAAAAAGACTACAAAGATCCAAGACAGAAGAAACACAGATCCCTGAATTATTTCATAAAGAACTGCATATCAACTATGTGCCTCTGCCGCAGAATGCTCAAGAAATAAAAATTAACTTCTTTTAGGTAAAGTCACTAAAATTTAGGGGTTGCTTACTAGCAGCTAGCATGTCCCTAACTAATATGTGTGTCTATTCTATAATAATGTAACTGTATACATATGTATAGATTCATTTAATCAACAAAATATACCGAGAACCCACTATGTGTTCAAAATATAATCATGAGCAAAAAACACGTACGATCTTTATCCTCATGAAGTTCAAAATTATTGGACCATGTGTGTTAAGTGTATGTTTTTGGGTTAGGGTTAGTAGGATGGCGCAGAATAAACAATACAAACAGAAATAGAATTTTGACTCCGAATCAAGATAGAGTAACAAGGGGCGCCTGGGTGGCTCAGTGGGTTAAGCCTCTGCCTTCGGCTCAGGTCATGATCTCAGAGTCCTGGGATCGAGCCCCGCATCGGGCTCTCTGCTCTCTAGGGGAGCCTGTTTCCTCCTCTCTCTCTGCCTGCCTCTCTGCCTGCTTGTGATCTCTCTGTCAAATAAATAAATAAAAAAAATCTTTAAAAAAAAAAAAAAAAAAAAAAAAAGATAGAGTAACAAGGGGACTCCTGGGTGGCTCTGTGGGTAAAGCCACTGCCTTCAGCTCAGATCATGATTCCAGGGTTCTGGGATCGAGTCCTGCATTGGCTCCTTGCTCAGCAGAGAGCCTGCTTCTCTCTCCGCCTCTGCCTGCCACTCTGCCTGCTTGTATGCTCTCTCTCTCTGTGACAAATAAATAAATAAATAAATAAAATCTAAAAAAAAAAAAAAGTAACAAGGATCACATTCACAACCCTACCTGACATAACTAAAAAACTGCAAAGAATACATAAAACAATTTTTAAGACACCAGGCACCCAACAGCAGACAGTGATCCTCCAAATATGTGAAACAAATTAGGTGAGTCCTATAATTTGGCCAAGCTTATCATCCGAAAAGAAGAAAGCATTATTAGACAAGGATTAAAACAGTTATTAAGCTCTATTTCATATGTTTGAGAAGCTGGAGGAAAGACTGAACTTATTAAACAGAGCAAAAAATATTAAAAAGACCCAACTCAAACTTTCAGAGATGAAAACCACAATGTCTGAGATAAAAAATACACTTTATAGGATTTACAGATTAAATCTACTGAAGAAAGGAGGAGTGACACTGAAGAAAGAGACAGCAACAGAAACTATGCACAATGAAACACAAACAGGAAAAAAAAAGATTAAAACATAAATGAATAGAGCATCAGTGAGCTGTGGGACAACTTGAAGCCGTCTACTGAATATGTAATAGGAGCCTGGCAGGAGAGCAGAGATAGGGGAGGTAGGTAAAAGTTTTTTTATGAAATAATAGCTCAAACTTCCCAAATTCGATGAAAATTAACAAACTACAGATTCAAGAAGCTCAACAAACCTCAAGCACAAGAAACATGAAGAAAACTACACCAAGGTACACCATAATCAAAGTGCTTACAGCCAGTGCAGGGAGGAATTTTACATCACATGCAGAGGAACAAAGGACAATGCCTCACTACTTGTGAGGAACAGTGCAAGCTAGAAGACACTGGAGCAACATCTTTAAAGTACAACAAAGAAAAACTATCAACCTAAAATTCTTGACCAAGTGAAAATATCTTTCAAAAACAAAGATGGGGAAAAGATACCTTTTCAGATACATAACAACTAAAAATAATTTATCACCAGCAAACATACACAACAAAAATGCTAAAAAATGTCTTCCCAGTAGAAGAAAAATGATTATCAGATGGAAATCAGGATTTACATGAAGAAATGAAGAGCAATGGAAATGGTAGCTACACCAGTAAATATAAAGATTCTTTTCTTATCATCTAAATCTCTTTTTCAATGCAAAAAATAGTAAGTGCACTGCAGAGTTTAAGCCTATGAACAAGTGAAACAGACTATGACTACAGCACAAAGGCTACAGACAGTACACTTCTGTAAAGTTCTTACATGTGAGGTAGCATAACATCATCAGAAGGTAGACACGAATGAGTTAAATATGCATACTATTAAGCACAGCAAAGATATATAGCTAATAAGCCAAAGGAGATAAGATGAGATCACAAAAAAAAGTGTGGAATTAATCCAAAAGAAGGCATAAAAGAAGGAAAAAGAAGAAAAAGGAATAGATGGAACAAACAGAAAACAAAACAGTACAATGGCAGATTTAAACCAAACCATATCAATATCACATTAAATGTAAATGTTTTAAATATACCAGTTATAAAAGGTATAAAATATAAATATATATTTTATTGTATATATATATTTATATTGTATATATATTTATATTGTATATATAAATCTATATAAAATATAAAAGGCAGAGATTACTGGAAAGGATTTTAAAAAGCAAAACCTAATCATGTATCACCTGCAAGAAACTCACTTTATATACAAAGAAAAAAATAAGTTAAAGGTACAAGAATAGAATGATGGTAACTATCTGGTCTCTCTTAACAAAAGAATAATCAGAATAGAGACAATGGCTATAGATAAAATTTTGATTCATAAGTTGCTAAAATTCAAGAAATATTTTCATATTCAAGAGGTATTTTCAAGCCTTGAACTCTAAGCATTAATACTATACTATACCCTTCATAATTCACCATATATATGTGTTCACATATCATTATTATTTCAATTACCTCAACAGGACCTCTAAATACAGCACATTAAAGATTTCAAAAGAAATTCCCAACTTGACCTAAGAAATTAGTAATTTGTTCTGATCAATAAAGAACCACTGATTTATTCTCAATGATGGGTATATATGCTCGATAGTTTACCTCTATATAAACTATAATTTCACTTAATACTGTATATTAAAACAACAGAGTCAGATCCAGATGACAGAAGCTGATTACAATCACATCTCACCCCACCCCCTTCCTTTGGAAAAACATAAAAGACTACTGATTTTTCTTTTTGATAAAATATTTAATCAAAAATATTTTAACATATCTGCATAGCTATTTAGCTATCAGCCATTCACTGAAGCATTAATAAGAAGACATATATGCCAGGCATCATATTGTATTATGCTAAGCACCAGGGATATAAAAATCAGTGTTACACTCTTAAGAGACAAGTATGGTAGCAAAGAAGGTGGGAATATATGTTTGTGAAATGTCCTAACATGCTAAAAATTACACATATAGAATGTCTTATCCTCTCAAGTTTCTAAATGTGAATTAGTTCATTTGACTCAAGTTGTCAAATTTATATAGAGTTGTTCACATTATTCCTTTACTGTATTTTTGACATCTGTAGCATCTGCAGTGATCTGCTTCATTCCTGCTATTGATAATTTGTCTTTTTTTTTTTCAGTCTTGTTAGGTGTTTGTCAGTTTTGTTGATATTTTTAGAGAATCAGCACTTTGTTTCATTCATTTTCTCTAGTTTTTCAATTGTCATTGACAATTGGAAAGTGCTCTTTATTGACACTGACATTGCTCTTTATTACTTCTTCCCTTCTGCTTGCTCTGATTTTGCTATTTTTAGACCGCTGATTTAAGACTTTTTCCTTTTTCTAATAATAAATATTTGGTGCTATAAATTTCCCTCTGAAATTTAATTACAGTCACAGAAAAAGGATAAGAATAGCCACAAATTTGGGAATAGATAGCAGAAATTTTAAAGATGACCAAATGGGAAATACAACAAATTACCAAGAAAAGAAAATTCTCCAAGGTAAGAAAATATTCAAGCCCAACTGAATGCCAAAGATAATTACTACCAAACAATTCCTCAAAGTAAAATGACTTGGACTAAATGACTTCAAGTGAAGGACCATAAAGTCAACCACACACAAGAAAGGGAAAACTCACACATGAAACATAACCCACCAATTTGGTATGAATGATGATGTAATAAGACAGGGAGCAGGCAATGTAGGCAGTGCGTACTCTCAGATGAGCTTCTTTACTATTCCATTATTTTCACAGTTGCCTAGATGCTGCCCAGCAGGAGCTAAGGCTGTACATATGGGAAGGTAAATGTAGAACTGCAAAGACTTCACTGGGGTTGCCCCATGTCATGAATACATCTTACTTTCAAATACAAAACATGGAAAAATAAAGCATCTTTTTTGCTTACCCTCTGAGCTTTTGCAAGTTCTTCTTTTAATCTTTCATAGCCCTTTTCTCTGACTTCCAAAACAGATGGGCTTCGTAAACGGGACAGACTATCAGTACTCAACCCAAAAATATCATCGCTGCCATCACAAGCCTCCGTTATAGTAGCACCCTGTAAAAACTCCCTCTCTGCATTACAGTTGTCCTTTCTCGTAGTTAATTTAGTTAACCCAGCTGTGACTCCAGAGGTAGAACAAGACGCTGGATCTGTAACATGGATGCTATAAAGGAAAGTTCAGAAAACATCAGTATATGCTCACACAGAACTGGCATAAACACAAAGGTCAGAACTGCACTCTCCAATGCGATAGCCACTATATTTAATAATAGCATTTTTTAAATTAACTTATAAATTATTAATTAACAATTAAAATCAGTCAAAGCTAAAGCTAACACATTTCAAGTCTAGCAGCCACTGGCTATCACATTTTCTTCATCACAGAAAGTTCTATTTAATAGTCCTACTCTAGAATGGGGTCAGCAAACTAAATGCAGGCTAAATCCAGCCTGCTACCTGTTCTGCAAGGCTCACAAGCCAAGATTTATTTTTACATTCTCAAATGGTTAAAAAGAAATTAAAAAAATCAAAATAATAATATTTTGTGGCATAAGAAAATTACATGAAACTCAAAATTCAATGTCCATACATGAAGTCTGACTGGAGTTTATTCATTTACGTACTGTCTGTAGCTGCTCTCATACTTTAACAGCAAAGCTGAATAGCTGCAACAGAGACTGTACGGCCAGCAAAGCCTAAAATATTTACCACCTGGCCCTTCACATAAGAAGTTTCCTGACCCTTGCTCTTGAACATTAATATGTATTGCTGCTCTTCATGGACAAGCTTATTCAAATTTTCTAAAATAGTAAAACTTAAGGCAACCAAACCAACTGTCCATTTGTTTAACATGATACGCCAAAATACGGATCTTAAGATTTCCTACCTGATACTAGATACTTCTGCACAGTTTAAACGTCTGGGGGATGAATACACAGGTTGCGTGGGAAGGTCGGAAACATCTAAGGCATTAGCCTGAATTGGGGCAGAGCACAGAGTTGAAGGATGTGGCCGATAGATGACACTTGGTGAGGTAGTCTGCTCCTGATTTCCTGATTCATACACACCAAGGTCTGGAGAAGTAGGTGAAGCAAGGTTTACTTCATGGAAGCCTTCCAAGGGGTCATTAGCCATAGCAAAAGCCTCATCATAAGATAACCTATGTTAAAACAAAAAGCAGGCAGTTATTTTGAAAGTGACATTTAAAATTAAATAAGACACATAAGTTTTAAAACATATCTAATAATCCATATAAAGTATAAACTTAAAAGAAGCAGTAAAGATATATACACATGCTTGGAATGAGATACATACATTACACCATACAGTTGACACTCGGAACACAGGACTGGGGCACCAAATCCCCACATAGTTGAAAACCCACTTATAACTTTTGACTACCCAAAATCTTAACTACTGTTAGCCTCCTGTTGACCAGAAACCTTACCAATACACAGTCAACTAACATGGATTTGATACTTATATGTATTATACACTGTATTCTTAAAATAAAGCTAGAGAAAATACTAAGAAAATCATAAGAAAAATACATTTACAGTACTGTATTGTATTTATCCAAAAAAATCAACATGTAAGTGGACCCTGATAATTCAAACTCATGTTGATCAAGGATCAAATGACAATTTCAAATTTAGGTAAGTGTTGCAGAGCTTTTATGTACCTTTCACCCAGATTATGAAACTGTTAACATTTTGGACCATTTGCGAATAGGTTTTGTGACATGATGCCCATTACTACTTAGTATCTCAATATATATATCTTCAGCACAAGGACATTTTCCTGTCTGACCACAAAACCATCAAAGTTAGGAAATTAATACTGATCGATATGACCATCTATCAACAGGCCCCAGTCAAATCTCACAGACTGTCTCAATAATATTCTTATTTATAAGTCTAGGATCCAATCTGGGATAATGTGCTATCTTTCCCTAAGCCTTAAATTTCTCCTCTGATGGGGTAAGAATGGGTATGACAACATTTTCTCCATTCTCCAGGCTGCTCTAAGGATTAAAAGAGATCAATCAAATAAAGTACTTAGTAGTGTGCTGTGTACTTGGCACCCAGTATGGCCTCAATAAACATTTGTTACTATAGTCAGCCATTAACAATAACATGTACACTTCAGTGTTTCCATAAAGAAAAAGTATTTCAAAACTACTCAATTATATCACCAAGGTTACATTAAAACTAAAAAGTATATCCCTCAAATTTTTCACTTGAAGAATGTAAATCTTATAAATCCTTTATTGATTTTCCAGTGTCTACAGAATAAAGTCCAAATTTAACAGCCTGAAAATCAAGTCTTCTATGATCTGAATCCAAACTCTTTTCCCAATTTTTTCCTTCCCAGAATAAAAATGTGCTAATCACTAGTGATACCCTCTCAGAACTTCCCAAATTCCCAAACACAGGCCCCAATATAACTCCTAATTTCTTTATAATACAAAAATTTCGTTCATTAAGCTGCAAAATTCTACTCTTTCATATCCTTAATAAGAAGTGTTTAAAATAAGACAAGTAGAGGGACACCTGGGTGGCTCAGTTAGTTAAGCATCAGCCTTTGGCTCAGGTCCTGATCCCAGGGTTCTGGGATGGAGTCAGACATTGGGCTCCTTGCTCAGCAGGGAGCCTGCTTCTCCCTCTACCTGCTTGTGCACATGTGTGCTCTCCCCCAACCCTGACAAATAAATAAATCTTTTAAAAAAATAATAATATAAGATAAGCATTAAACAAAAAGGCTGTAGTAAAGCTGGGAAAGGAGAAGCGACCCAATATTTATATTCTTTCAAAAGTACAATTACAACATGTCACAAACCTTCAAGGTTATATATATATATGGACAATGAAAACTGTATCTATTAGGGGCGCCTGGGTGGCTCAGTGGGTTAGGCCGCTGCCTTCGGCTCAGGTCATGATCTCAGGGTCCTGGGATCGAGTCCCGCATTGGGCTCTCTGCTCGGCAGGGAGCCTGCTTCCCTCTCTCACTCTCTCTGCCTGCCTCTCTGTCTACTTGTGATCTCTCTCTGTCAAATAAATAAAATCTTTAAAAAAAAAAAAGAAAACTGTATCTATTAAATCTGCAACTGCCAAATTTCAAATCCAATCAATGTTTTCTTTGTTGTAGTAAACAGTCTGAATCCTCAAAATAAAACTAATTCTTGTTTTTTCACCCAAAATAGTCACTTGTTAAATGAAAGATCATATTAACAAGGAACGTAAGGTATTTAATACTCAATTTATTATTTTCATCCAAAAGAATATTATTCATTCCTTATTTATAATACAGACAAACATACACCAAACATCTAACCCTGAAAATTTCATTTTCACTTGAATATAGTTTACTAATCCATTCACTTTTGAGGAGAAAATGGGTTTTCATTAAACTCTGACATTTTATCAGTAACTATCTGATACTTCCTTTCATCCATCCCACATACTTTTAATTCACATCATTACCCTTACAAGTTCACCAAATCATAGAATGTGAAAGCATTTGCATTTCTAGAAATGCAAAATGGTAAAAACTTATAAAGGAAAATTTGACAGTATCTGGCAAAATGACATATTCATTAAACCGACATGCCCATTTTCAGGCCTTTATCCCAAAAATAAACTAAAATAAAGAAGAACAGATACATGCATAATGCTAGCAACATTATCAAAAGACCAACTACAATCTTGTTATAGCAAAAGCTGAATGAGCTAATGTACCTCCTCATAATGAAGCATGAGACAACTGTAAAAAGAAATAAATACTATCTACATACCACTATGAAGGGATCTTGAGGATATACTGACAAATTAAAAAACAAGATAAAGGGGTGCCTGGGTGGCTCAGTGGGTTAAGCCTCTGCCTTCGGCTCAGGTCATGGTCTCAGGGTCCTGGGATCGAGCCCCACATCGGGTTCTCTGCTCAGCAGGGAGCCTGCTTCTCCCTCTTCCTCTGCCTGCCTCTCTGCCTACTTGTGATCTCGCTCTCTGTCAAATAAATAAAATCTTAAAAAAAAAAAAAAAACAAGATAAATAACTATGCACAGGAAGCTACCTTTTACCTAAGAAAGGAGAAAATACAAATTTATTTCTATGTACATATATAATTGTAATTGTATATGTATATATGACATATAGATGTATTACTATGGATGCAGACTTATATTTTAGAAGTGGAAGGATAAACCAAAAACTAATAAAAACTAATAGAAACAGGAAATCTATGGGAAGAGGGAGAGAACAGGAGGAGGAGACAGGTATGAAAGCTAGACTTTTCCAAATGGACCTTGTCTTATAGATTTGAATTTGAGCTTGGAACCATGTAAGTGATAAAACAATACTAAATTTTAAAAAAGAATCCCTAAAAATAAAACAAATAAACTTAGCTGTGTATTGAGATAGTAGCTTAACAACATAAAAGAGCTACTGCAAGTGGTTTTAAAACATAAAATTGTACACACTTAACAAATATATTCCAAAGACCAAAAATGTGAAAAAAGCTGTTAACTATTTTCAGTGATCACATTATTAATGTTGCTGTCATGAAACCATTATTTATAATATTAAGGAAATAAGTTATGTTAATGTCATTCCAAATTAAGATTTTCAGCATATGAGAAGAGATACAAATGTAAAATCAAAGAAGTAAACATTCTGAAGTTCTAAATATGAATCCATCAGAAAAAAAAAATTCTATTAGAACAAAAAAATTCCTAAATTTATCCACTGAGGTGGTAATCACAACAGTAACCGACTCAGGGGCAATGAGTAAGTACCCCTTGTGCCCAGCGTAATACTATTTCGTACCAAAAAAAGAACAAGGGCTCCTTAGAGAAAAGGCTGATTTCCAGGCCAAGCGCAGTAACGTACAAAAAGACCCTGGAACATCCTGTTATACCAGGAAGCAAGAAACTATCAAAGACTACTGGAGTGGTATCAAAAGGATTCTCACTAACCAAAGATAGGAAAATCTGAACATCAAAAAGATAGTATCTGTAAGGAACCAAAACAAAAATATTTTTAAATCGCTGAATTCATGATTCATTTAATTTTATTAAAAATAAAAACAAAATTGGGGCGCCTGGGTGGTTCAGTGGGTTAAAGCCTCTGCCTTCGGCTTGGGTCATGATCCCAGGGTCCTGGGATCAAGCCCCATATCGGGCTCTCTGCTCAGCGGTGAGCCTGCTTCCCCCCTCTCTGCCTGCCTCTCTGCCTACTTTTGTGATCTCTGCCTGTCAAATAAATAAATAAAATCTTAAAAATAAATAAATAAATAAATAAAATAAAAACAAAGTCTCACTGGTCCCCTTTGATGGGTGCTAGGGAGTCAATTCATTATTTTGAAAATTGGTATAATTAAAGAATCAGGTACAAGTAGGAACTAAGGAGAAAGACAAAGCCCTTGGAAGGGCTTTTTGGGCATGTCTAAGGTATGAAAGCCAAGCCTTTATGGAGAATACAAATATGCTATAGACTGAAGTAAAAGTAATGAACATAAAATGCAAGTCTCAAAGAGAGATGGGTTTGAATCCTGTTTCTGTCAAATTATTGGGCCAACATGTGCCTAGGTGTCCTCATCTGGAAATCTGTGCCTGGGCTCTTTTGTTTTGTTTTGTTTTGTTTAGCAAGAAAGAATATGTTCAAGCAGGGGGTCACCAGGGGGAGAAGGAGAATTCCAAGCAGGCTCCACAACCAGCGTGTACCCTGCTACAAGGCTCAATCTCACAACCCTGAGATCGTGATTTGAGCTGAAATCAAGAATCAGGTGCTTAACCAACTGAGCCACCCAGGTGCCACTTACGCTTGGGTTTCCTACCTTTCATGATAAGAATGAAAAGAAACGCACGTAACACTTAGGACAGGACCTCTGGTCATTGCCTCTCCCTACAAGGTTTTCATTCTGTAGGATACTTAAACTTTGTTTAAATTCAAGTCACTTCTGAAAAGATTATTTTAAGGTTAAATTCAGTCCCTTTTTCAAGCATATGCAATTTCCATAAAATGTAACTTAGCTGGTAATGAGCCACCAATCACATTCGTCTGAAAATCTTTTGCTCTTTAAAATATATGGAAGCTTTAAGAATTACTTCATATTCAAAGTTTTTATATGAGTAAAACAAGCTGCTATTTTTAAGCAGTGTTA